ATGTGTATTCATTTGTGTGTTTTTGTTAAAGGGGGCATATTATGGCTTTTCAAAGTTGGATTCCTCTGGAAAAGCACGGCAGCTTTACTAATTTTCAATATTTATCATAAACAACATCTTGGAAACTGCCGTTTAATTCAGTTTAAATAAGTGCAGTTTAATTTGTTGTAAACAAACTAAAGGTATACAATAGAAACCTTTTTAAAACTGTGAAAACAAAATTTAATTGGCCAAGGAAACTTTACTTTTGTATAGAAATTTCTTCTTTTTTTTGTCAATCTTATCACAAAGTATTACTAAAAATGTAATTCCTTGTAGATCCATGTGGATCTTTCCATTTACATGATGCTTTACGCATTTGACAGATGTCTTTATCCAAAGTAATTAACATTTCAGAGAATGAAAACATTTGATCAGTTCTTGCCTCCCCTGGGGTCCGAACCTAAGACCTTGGAAATGACAGAGCCGTGCTCTACAGACTAAGCCACAGAAAAGCTTCTGTGAAAAACTTTACCTGGAATCTGCAAAATATAATTACTTTTTCAAAGTATCTTTTTCAAATGTTGTGTTTCGTCAGTGAGCAAAAGTCATTAATTCCCCTAAGGTTCTGTAAAATAGAAAAATGATAAATACAAAGAATCGACAAAATGTTTATGTTAATATGAAACAACTAATGTTGATTATTTAATGTTTTTGATATTAAATGATAACAGCAACGGTTGACAATTACTTTTATTTGCCACTCACACTAAGAGGCCGCATCTTGATGTTCTGTTGGGGTTCAGACATCAGCACAAGGTTTCACAAGAAAAACCCACTTCAGAACTAGTTTTGGTTGAGTACTTCGATGATGTTTAACTGGCTTTACAGTTATGCTGGAGAAGAATGGCAGGAAATTCATGAAAATGCTAAACTCTCTGCTCTCTGACTGGATCCACTGCACTCTGAGAGAGCTGCAGCTTTTGTTTCCACTTAAAGAAGTATTTTGTTAAATATGTTTTGTTACCAAGATCCAAAGCTGATATAAACGTTTTCCTTTTCAGAAATAATCCTCATGACGCATAAAGGGACAGCTTACATTCTGAGAACCATGTACACAGCATGCTATTTACTTTTTTAGGTGTTGATCTTGTTTTTTTATTAACAATAACAAGCATGAATAATATGAATCACAATAACATTAATGTCTATTTTTAAAATAAATGTAATTACTGCACAAAAAAAAAAACCCAAGAAGGGAGACATGGTGGGGCAGTGGGTAGAACTGTGGCCCTCCAGTTAGATGTTTGTCGATTCAAGGCTCGTTGGAAAGAGTTGAGGATCTTTTTGACAAACTGGCAAAAAATACAGAGCAATACACTTTTTGTATCGTAAGTAAATTTAATTGTTACAAATTGCTGGTTCTGTTTTTATAAAACTGCTAAATGCAATAGTGTAATGCCAAAGCACCAAATACTATATAAAAATATCAAATTTTTAATTATTTCAAAAGTATAATACAGTAAAATTATCAAAATAATAATATTAAATTATTAATTTCGTATACTGATGAACTTAAAACGACACTACCAATATTTTCCTATCTACTCAAGCATTTATTCCCATTCAAAGTTAATTATGTTCATGTCATTTTCTCACTGTGGATCATTAATGAATAGCCCAAGAAAGTAAACAGTGGATATAAATAGATTCTCATTTGTTTCTTTCCCCATTTGGTCTAAGGCCTTTTAATATGAACAGCTGAGACAATGCTGATACCTGCAGGCGTCATCAAAACAGAGTTCTGCATTCAGATACGACAAAAGCAGAACCATTGGTGCGTAGTTCTGAACCCATCTGGGACAGAGTTGTTCAATACGGCTCCAAGAGGAATTGTTTCTACACAGAATTTCTCCATCTGGCTCAAACACACATGCCCACAGGTTTCTAGATGGAGAAACGTTCAAGCGAGTTTAAAACAGGGCAGTGGATCACAGAAAATAATAAAGTATATTTTCCTTTAATATGTCATATACTGTAAGGTATTCTTAATTAATCAAATTGAATAATGTCACTGCTGGCATTTGTGCACACAACACCGCTGAAGGAAATGATGCACTGCAAAGGTCATTCGCAAAAGTTTTTCCACAGCCATATTCTGAACATGTGCACACTGCATGTTTTTAAATGTTTTGCATAAAAACACACAAACAAACTGCAAAAAAGGATTGTCTTCGAGGTGCAGACACAAGATTTTTTTCACTTCTACATAAAAAAGAAAATAAGAACTAAGGGAATTTGATCTTGAAAGGTCAGAGAACTGTGGGAATACCATTAACCATTCTAGTTTTATTTCAGGATGTTGGTGCCTTATTGGGATGCATTATTGTCAGTTCTTGAGATAAGAAAGCCTCCTCAATGTGCCTTTATCTGCAAAAGCTCCTCTGTGCTCTGAATTAGCCATATATGTTTTAATAGTGGGATGATCACGAATAAGTTTTTGTGAAATATCTAATGTTTTCATATCCTGCCCAAGGCATTGAATAAGGTTTAATGGTGCACACGTCTGTTTTGAATTAAGTAGGAATGATGCGACTCACCTATTGCTAAAGATTGATTTGAAACAAAATGTGAAGGTTTCAAAAAGGTTATTATTTTTAATATTTTGTGTTTTAAATGAACATTGCAAGAGTTATAATGCGTAAACTTTAGAAAATGCGCAGTCGTCTTTCAGTTTTGTTTTACAGACCCTAAATCTGTGCCATATGTGCCATCTAAAGGTGAAAATAAGGAAAAACCCTTGAAAATACAAAACCTGTCATTTGGACTTGTGTTTTTTTTTATTATTTGTTTGTAATAAAACTAATCACAATGGAACAAAAAGTGCTTGAACAGTGTATAAGGTTTATGAGAGGTTCACCGTGTTTTTTGATATAAATTTCACACAGTTTTGACCTTGTCTTTGCATTTTTGGGGCATTTTTTGTTGTTGTTATAAAACATAATACCTTCTCGTTGTCTATTGTCAACAGTTTTTTTGCAGTAAAAAAAAGACAAAATTTAAAACTCAGAATTGAATTTTGTTCTATATTTGTAAAAAAAGAAGCTGAGGTTGTTTTTACAAAATTATATAAATCATTTGAACCAAAAAAAAAGAGAATAAAGAGAATTTATTAAAGCAATTTATACAATAGAAAAAAACACTCAAAAAGACATCTATGGATTAACTGTGCTCACTTATTTATCACAGGGGTCACAACGCCATCCAAGAGTTGAACCTAAAAACTAAAAAATGTTATCTTTTTGACACAGAAATAACATTTACATAATAATTTGGGACATGGTGTTGCGGGACCGTTGACATTGACAAATTATCAAGCTTTTGTTCTTTTGTTTACTGACCAACACTTTTGGGGAGCATTATGTTTTCACTGAGTGTACATGGGAGTTAAGGCAGGAGAGGGGGGTCACAGATAAGAAAAGGAGCAAAAGTTTTCAGCCCATGTATAGTCATTTTAACGCAAAAGGAACTATATCAATAAAGAATCAATATATACATCACAGCTAATCACTCAGTTATGAAAGATACAACAGCAGCCCCAGCAATCAGCACTTACACAAAATGAAATGTATGAGTATTTCAGATTTAAACCTTTCTATGACCATAGCAGATGATGGGTGGTATGGTCGCCAATAACACAAACCTTTTTCCTTTAAATCTGTCATCAACTTTGATCATTCTTTGTCTATCTAACTGTATGGAACAATAGCAGCACGTCAACGTTAGGCGACAAGTAAACACTTCAGTGTGCTTCATGTTTATGCCTTGGATAGTTCTGTTTTTACCATTATTTCCATTGATTAAAAGAGCCACACAAGACGAGCGTGTAGTAATGTATGGAAAGGGAGGTCAGCAAAACATCAATGGACAATCCACCAGTATGTTGGCATTGAGATGTTTATACACTTTTAAATAATGCGTCAGTGCTTGGATGAAATACATCGTAATGCACATCCCAATCAATGCACAACTAGCAGAACTGCGTTAAAATCTATACAGGTTTAGCAGTGATGGTACACCCTGAAACCAGTCCTCTAACTACATTTGCAGTGTTATAAAACCTAGAAATATCGGAAGATCTTCAAAAAACCCTAAGATCCATTGTCGTCCTCCAACTGTCGGAGGAACTGTTTGAGAGTCTAATTTGTATTCGGAACTCAGCATCTACACACAAAAAAGTTTTGCAATACAAATTAATATGTTAATAAATAACCTGCAAGTAAAATTAAGTAGTTCAATATTAAACATAAACATATTTGCAAATATATGATTATATTTGTTACATTTCAGCACCATTCAATTAGCAAAATAAAATTTAGTTTGCTTTGTCTACATGACCTCAGGCCCACTGCTACCGGTGTGTGTTTATTCACTGCTGTGTGTGTGCACTTGGATGGGTTAAATGCAGAGCACAAATTCCTTGTATGGGTCATGAATTGATTCCATTATGGCACTTAATGGTTGCCATATAAAGAGGGGCTGGGTATTGTGACCAATTCTGCGATTCGATTCTTATTTTTATGGTTTCGATTCGCAGATTTGGGACATGGGATCAATATTTTCATATAAATACTGTTAAATTAAATTCCCCTACTAACATTTATTACTGAAACACACATCTACATTAATATTAGGGTGTTATATAAACATTTGTTTATTTTAAGCAACTTTTATTTTAACGAGAGGTGAAAGGACTAATATCCTTTTATGTGAAGCACATGCATTAACCCTTTAACTCCTATAATGATACAGTAATTATAACAGTTCGCCTGGTATTCTTGTCCTGTTTACAATTGTCAGAAAATAGTATTTGTATTATGTTTTAGCCATTTTTCTTTTCAGAAGATACAAAATCTGGCAAATATTTGTTATTTTTATGTTATAAATGTTCAGAGCAGTGTGTAATAACAAGCAAAGTAAAAAAAATCATCAAATATCTCTTTATAAACAACTATAAATGTACAGCAACAAGAATGAAAAACATTGTTATAAAGCTGGAAATATACCTTGTTTATAAAGAACGTTATTACTTGCATATGACTGTGATTGAGTCGATGACACGCCCCCTGGCTGCTGCTGCTCCCCCTGCTGTTTGCGTTCCACAAAGCTCACAGGGGCTCTCCTCACTCTTGATGATCGTATAATCAAGGAAATATGATTGAATATAAGGAAATAAGGAAGAAAAGACGCACTTCATGTGCGAATGCGAAAGTCATGGACACATAATACGGTAAAAAAAAACAGTACAATCTAACACTAATAAACAAAAATAATCACTACAACTATGTCAATGCTTATACTATTACATACAGTATAAATGTAATATTTACAATGAAATCTCCGCTAAAGTATTCCTAAAGCAATCACAGGAGGAATCCAATCACACATCTGTCACCAACGCTCCACAAACTTCCCGCCCCTGGCACACATGCAATGTTGTCATTAGCATAATAAATG